CTCCCCCTCATTTACCCGTCCCATACTCTGAAGTATAACCTTAACCCTTCTCTCCCTTTTTCTTTTGGCTTCCCCATTCACTTGTCACATTGTCAGGGGACAAATGGTGAAAGAACTTTGATCTCATTTGGTGGAAAGAGCGGGCAAGGGGAGGGTTGCCGGTCCCTTGCGCCACCAACAAGAAAAAGTGATTGAGGGTTGAAAGGACCAGTTAGCATAGGGGACTTTAGGGTTGACAAGGTCCCAAGGATTGAAGAAACTTGTTGAGTGAAAGAGAGGTCAGTGGACTCGACCAACACCCCGACTGCATGTCAAAGGGAAGAGGATGGTTTGGACAATGCAAAGGAATGGAGAAGAAAGGAACCAAGGGACAAAGAAATTAGGCATGCGGGACAGATTATGTGTTGACCTCGAATGGGGGTTGTGTTTGTCTGTATTGCCTTGAGTGTGCAGGTGAGTAGCCCTTAAGATGTTTTGAGTTGGATAGCCCCCGGAGAGGCCCGACAGACAGAAGTTGAATGGGTTGTGAACGTAACCCTCCCCCATGAATGACCCTTGTTGTGCATGTCGCCCCGCCTTGGAAAGGAAATGTGGTTTGACTGGCTGGATGTTTGGTTGGATGTCTACAAAAGCAACGGGTGGTCGAGAATGCCACCAAGTCGCGTGAAAGTGTGGGTGGGGCCCCAAAAAGACCAAGGGGTGTAGAGGCAAGCAACGAGACCCTATGAGGGATATACAAATGATGCATGAGATAGAGGAAGCCAGCACATAGATCGGCTAGAGGACGGAGCAGAGGGCACCCTAGTGAGGCGATAAGGGCCAACGTGACTTAGTCCACGGGCCTAAGTCGAGGAGTGTCCCTCTACCTCAATGACGCCTCTAAGACTTTCCACTTACTGAATGGATGCATGGCCCAAGGAGGATGCTTGATACGCATATAAGAAGATAAACTTTCAAAGGACTCCCTGGACTGCTTGAGTACTGGAAGGAGCAATTGTATGTGAACTTAACTACGCATCGAGGAAAGGACGCTTGCAAAGGATTAGTGAGACTACCCACCTAGAGCGAGGGCTGAGCTACATCCCCAATGTCAAAGTTGTCTCACTCTTTGGCCCACTCCCATCCATCTCAAAGCACTAGGTGGGGGTGACTCTATGACGAATGGCTCCTCGCTCTGGGCATGAGTGTGGGCGGAGCCGGGCCAACTGGGACCCGTTGGAGGGTCGATTCAAGCTCAAAAGTCTAACAGGGTGGGACCCTACAATGGGTAGAGGAGGGAAGTGGTCACTGACCTCGGTGTCCCATTTTGGAGCAGTTTTCTGGCGTCGACGTGCCACCAACGCATGCCATCACCAGACCCAGCACAATCCCCAAGGGCCAGCTGCTCAACGACAAAGGAGAGAGAGAGAGAGAGAGAGAGAGAGAGAGAGAGAGAGAGAGAGAGAGAGAGAGAGAGAGAGAGAGAGAGAGAGAGAGAGAGAGA